AACCATGAAACGATTTCAAACGTTATTCTTTCAACCCGACTGTATTGAAAGTTGTTGTGGACAAAGCACTGAAAATATGCAGAGAAATCAGGGCGCGATACTGCAGGAATATTGTCAAAAATCTTGGAAAACACGGATAGTTCAGATGAAAATCTTTTAGAGAATCCTTTAAAAATCCGAGTTTTTGGTGATAATGCATAATGATTATGAAAGATGGTGCTTTGAAGCATTTTGATAAGGCAAGCGCTCCATTTCGAAGTTTTTATGCAAAGTTCGGCTTTCTGAGAGTGTCCATCTCAAATAATTATTTAAGTATTCAAGTACTAGTTTTTGTTTTTAAATAATCACGTAGTTGAATAGTTATTCATGAATTTAAATATTTATCTTATAATATGAGTTCTGTTGTGTGAAAGCTCAGAAAGTCGGTAGATGTTTGACGGTCTATTGGTCGGATCGAGATGGAAACTGTTTGCTGTTTCTGCTTTATGCTCAACCTAAATGAGCGATCATGCTTCCCAAAAACGAACTTTAAGTAATGGACGAAGGCTGAAATGTTGAAATTTTACAGAAAATCTTCGAGATGGTGGTTGAATTCATATCAGCCACCCTACAGCTTATGGTTGGTAGAAATTGAATTCTGAGCTAATTTTGTATTGAACCAGTGATTGTTTATGCACTCCGTAGGTGATCAACACCACAATCGCTCAAGTATTGACTCTTCTATACAGAATTATGCTCAGTATAATTACCGTGACTGTCATCATAGCTATTTCTTGCGCTGCATATTTGCGTCGACACTCGAGGCAAGCAGACAGGTGATTTGCAACAACTATCGGTGACACAATGTGACGGCGGCGATGAACATTGTTTTTTTTCTGTACAAGTGTCAAAGTTGCATACAATGGGCTATTTAATTTCAGTCTGAATTTATCAAATAAAAATAATACTTGATTTCAAACTGAAACGTGAGTCTAGGAGTGAGGGGGAGGAGTGACTGAGGGTGTAGGTGTTGGTCTGGGACCCACACACACACCCACACCCATGGTGCGGGTGTGGGCGCGCGAGTGGGTTTGAGGGTGTGCTTGTGGTTTTGTGTACTATAGGCTTTAGTCCCCTGCATAGGGGACTAAGCGGGGACTAAGCTTTTTGTGGGGGGACTAAGGGGGACTTTGCAGGACTAGGGGGGACTAAGGGTTTTTAGTGAGACTACGTAGTATCATGCGAGAAAAGTTTGATTCGGAGGAAATTGGTGTGCTTTTTTTGATTTTAGAATTCAGTTTGAAATAAAAAAGCCCATAGACTCCAAAGTTGTCACATGCGGCAGATGGAGCACAAAGCTTTGTTCCCTTTATTGTCGTAAATTGATAGCATGTGAAGCAGCTAGTATTAGTATTGCTATATAAGGGTTGGAAGCAGCTAGTCAACTGGTTGACTGATCGTCCTGACGAATAAAATGACATATTTCGGTAGATGGGATGGTATGAAGTTATTATCTTACCTTGAGTGCCATGGAAATTAAAAAAGCAAACACAACTAAAACTTCTACTGCATGCATATCGTCAGCGAACATTAGAGCAAAGTAAATGAAAGCCTTTTTATATGTGTATGGTACAATATTTTCTCTTCTTTCAAGTTTGTACTCAGTCTGGCTACTTGAAGCATATTACGATTGTGTATGCTTCCTGTATAAAATCGAATTATGGATCTCATTTTAATTGTATCGTCGGAAGTAATGTGGAAAAGATATTTGCATTTTTTACAGCATATTCATCAATATTACAAAACATAAAGCAGCTTTCCTCAGATGTAGATATGAATGTTATATGCAACGGCTGACTATGGGCAGCCTGACAGCTACCTCACACCAACATTCGCATGCATACCGACACCGTAACACTATAGCTATGACGATAGGTTAAATACTTAAAGAAAACAACTTGTAGTTTGCATGTATTATGCGCAGACACTTTTATTCGCATCACGGCTAAAATGTATGTAAAATCAACTATAGCGTTATTCGATGAGACATTGAGAGTGTGCGTGTCGATATGAGAGTGGGTGAAAAGAAGATCCACACCCTTCAGGTATCATTTCAAAAGATGATTTGGTGACAACTCTTAATCGAATTTTGACCCACACTTGTATTCCCTCATGGGGATTACCAAAATATTTCTTTATCATCGGCGTGGAAGAGTGCAGGCGTGGACTGAAAATGAGTTCGAAGATTTTTCAAAAGTTTTGATAAAAATATTAATGTTGCACTCTGAATATCTGCAATATGAAAAACTATAGAAGTTTCTTTTACAGGCAGAACCATGGCATTTAAAGGTTTAATGTCAGATTTGCTTCATACTTACTAAAAATTGAAGAGGCTCTCTTTCAAGTTATTCATCATCGCTCTCATTCCCCTTTCTTCTTGTCATCAAACAAGCAAATCATTCAAGAAATATCATCAAAAAAATAAAGAACTGCATATTCAAACTTCTGCAACATAAATTTTATTTCAAAAAAAGCAATACATTCAGTGTAAACAAAAGAGGCAATGACATATTTGATAGGTGAAAATCAGAAAACGGGGTGAAACCAATCAATTGTTAAAGCAGTCGAAACGAACTCTGAAGCGTCTCTCATCCTTTCATTAGTAACATTTTCGAAAATATTAACCCAAAAGGAAGATACTAAATACAGTACAAAGCAGTCAGGTCAAGACTATATCTTGACATACAATAAAGCTAATTCAAATGAAAACAGTATTATATCTAAAACGTCACACAATCCTAGTATTCAGTGTTTTTAGCCATTTAATCTACGACAATTCAAACAGATTTTATATTGTCTGTCGGACAAAACATATTAGGCAGCAATTTTTCGAGCTTATACTCCTCATACATCCGAAATCTTCACACAAATTACAGAGCATATAAAAGTATATGTGAGATTAAGATAAATAAAACTTCAGTCTAAGAATCCGACTGAAAAAACGCACTCGCACGACTACTTCTATATTCACAAAATAAACTAAACGAAACATTAACTATATACATCATCGTAAGATTGCCTGACCATCTCCACTCAAACAATAACACTATATCATGCAACCAACAAACACATGCTTGAGTGACCCACCAACAACTAAGAATTACATTCTCTATGTGCGATAAAAAACTCGCTGAAGCATTACTCAAAACAGTTGTAGACAATCTTACAAATTATACGTGGCGCGAAAGGTTTTACTACCAGATAAATAGTATCTAAACGTCATTCGTTTCGACTCATATTTTCACCAGAACTAGATCTTGGTAAACCCTGATTGCAATCATTAACTTGACTTCAATCGGTGGAAATGTACTAGAGTTATACGTACACCACTATTTTCACATTTGGATGACTACAGCTTGCATATTTCTAAATATTTAATTCCCTGCACTGCTTTCTTTCGACATCGCATTGTTGTAATTATCTGTGGATAGATTTAGTAGGAAATCACTCCGGGATAGCAGAGTTATGGCCCTCACACTGAATAATTTTGCCATATGATAAGTCTTAGACTTGATTCTGGTGTCTATCACGCGACTCGATATTGATCGATTCTTACGACAAGTTCAGTCATAAGTCCTGATGAACCCACCAAGTGATGCTACAACTTTTCGGAAGCATAGTTCAATGTGGAGTCGAAATACAGCTTGCAAAGCAGTTGGCAACTAGACAGCTTACTAATCTCTGAAGTTCTTTACTATACGTCGCATTTCTTATCCAACAGACTAAGTATATAGAGTACATTGAAAGCGGAAAAGAACGAAGATAAATTGAATCAGAACGAAATGGCAAACAAAAGTCATCCGACATCATATTTTCTTCTTCACTTTTCACCAAGTGGACAATATCATTTAATGCCCACAAGCCAATTACTTTATGATGACAGATAAGGTTTCACAGTGAATGCGCAAATCTGAATGGCTTTCAACTTCATTGTATTTGCCGCTTGTATACTTATAAGAATCCAAGGAGCGCCTTGCCTCACATTCACAACTTCATTGTCGACAATACCAAAGGTCTTCCACTACAGTTGAATTATTGTTCATGTGCTGAATAAATCAAAATAGAAATGCAACTTTTCAGAACTCTTGCTAGCCATTTCTTTCACAAGACATTTCTTTTTATTCTTTTTAGCGCTCAATGTAGCACCATACGCCTAGTTGCTCGTGCTTAGACTCTTCCTCATAATATGAATACCGCATAGACTGGCAAGTTGCGTCATTGCCAACTGTTCTACTGTCCATGTAAACAAAAAAATGCAAATTAGACGTATCTAGACGCAGGTCAGATAAAGTAACTTTTACGTTATCAGATTTTCCTCAACGCATCTTCGTGCGTTTTCTGCATTTAATGCCTTCACACTTGATAGGAGATTTAACCGCGACATCCGGCACTTCATAACTTTATTTAACCACGTCCAGATGCAATGACATTTTCAAGTGACTCAGGACGCAATAAATGTCTCATCTGAGCTACGTCTAGATTCGTTCACTACTTGTGCTTCAGGCGCATTTGTACTGGAAAAAACCTGAAATGGGCAGTTGTGCTTAGACTCCACATTGAACTACGCTATTGGGAAGCAGGAGTCAAAATTTTTCGGTTCATGAGAACCTATATATAGAGCGGTCAAACGAATAAATCGTGACCTGTTTGTGTCTTTAGTACTGATCTGATGACTACAGCTATTTCCCTCAAAATTTTAACTGAAAACCATAACAGTCCACTTTCAAGACGATTCATTACCAAATTTCGTTCACAGAGAGTTACAACATTTCCACTTTTATTAAGAAATATATGAAAATGCATGAATAACATTAGTGAGATACAGTGATCAACACCAGAAGAGGTTCTCTGGCTCATAACTCTAGTGTACTTCAAACGATTTACTTGAATTTCATAATTCAAAGCAGACTATAAGTAGCTATACTTCCGGTAACCATACGAGTCCATACAATGAAAGTTTAGATACTATTTATCTAACCATGAACTTTTTTATAAGTTGTTTATCATATCCTTGCTCAACTACATAGTTATTCATAAACATCTTCCCTACAATCTACTGCATACACTTGATACAGAACCGTGAACTTTCTCCGATAAACAACCAAAACCGTTAAAAAGCTCATTGATTATTTTGCTATTACCAACTTTAATCTCCACCGGCCCTCTTTTTCCAAAGCTAATTATGTTATTTTCCACAATTATGACAGCATATTGTTCCCAGAGTGCCAAAGAGATAAATCCATGAATCCAAAAAACATCCTCAAATTCTAAAAAAGATTCCATTAGCTTCAAGACAAGGACTGAACTTTCATACATATTGACCTCATCTCTGCTGCTATCGAAAACTTCAGAAACCGGATTCACAAGTGATCGTTTTACACGACATGATCTAACATGTTTCTGCAAAGCTTTATATGCAAACCAGCGAACATCCTCTTCCTTGTCCCCAAGTCTAAGAATCAACTGACTCATAACTTCTCTTGTCACGGCCTTCTCACCTAATTCTCCGAAAGCTTTACAAGCACTCTTCCGAACATTCTCCTCACTGTCCCTCAGTGCAATAATCAATCCATTCATCACCTCATTCGTTACTGCATTTTCACTTAATTCTCCGAGAGCATTACATGCACTCGCCCGGACTTTCGCATCATTATTGTCAAGTGCAGTTATCAATCTGCTGATCACCTCATTTGTTAATGCCTTTTCAGCTAATCTACCGAGAGCTTCACATGCAATTTTCCTGACGAACCCGTCACTATCCCCAAGTGCGCTTCCCAATCCACTGATTACCTCACTCGTCACTGCCATTCCAGCTAGATCTCCTAGGGCCACACAAGCACACGCCCTAACATACTCGTCACTATTCTCAAGGGCAATCAATAACCCACTGATCCCCTCGCTCGTTGCCACACTTTGGCTTAACCTAGCGAGAGTTTCACATGCACTTGATCGAACATCCTCATGACTATCTCCAAGTGCACCTACCAATCCACTGATCATCTCGATCGTCACTGCCATTTCACCTACATCTCCTAGAGCCTCACATGCAGTCTTTCGGACATACCAATCACTATCCTCAATCGCAACCACCAATCCACTGATCACCTCACTCGTTGCCGCCTTTTCGCCTAATTTACTGAGAGCTTTACATGCAGTTTCCCGTACATACTGGTCACTATTCTCAAGCGCAATCAACCATCGACTGATCACTTCACTTGTTGCTACCTTTTCAGCTAATCTATCAAGAGCTTCACATGCACTCGTCTGAACATATTTATCACTGTCCTCAAGAGCAAGGGTCAATTTACTGATCACCTCACTCGTTGCTGCCTTTTCGCCTAATTTACCCAGAGCTTTACATGCACTCTTCCGGACATACTGGTCGTTGTTCTCAAGAGCAATCACCAATCCATTGATCAGCTCAGTCGTTGCTACATTTTCACTTAACTTACCGAGAGTTTCACAGGCACTAGATCGAACATCTTCATGACTGTCTCCAAGTGCACTCACCAGTTGACTGATTATCTCAGTTTTTACTGCAGTTTCACCAAACTCTCCGAGAGCTTTACATGCAGCTTTCCGCACATACTTGTCACTGTCCTCAAGTGCAATCGCCAATCCACTAATAACTTCACTAGTTGCTACTTTTTCGCCTAATGCTCCGAGAACTTTACATGCTCTCATCCTGACATACCCTTCATTATCCTCAAGCGCAATCAACCATCGACTGATCACTTCACTTGTAGCTGCCTCTTCATCTAGTTTCGAGAGAGCTTCAAATGCTATCGACTGGACAAGATAATTACTATGCTCATGTTTAATCACTAATCGACTCATTACCTCACTCGTTGCTGCATTCTCACCTAATTCTTCAAGAGCTTGACATGCAATCTTTCGGACATGCTCATCACTATTATCAAGTGCAATCAGCAATCCACTGGTCGTCTCACTTGTTGGTGCCTTTTGAGCTAATTTACCAAGAGCTTCACATGCACTCAATCGCACATCCCAATCACTATCTTCAAGTGCAATGACTAACTGACTGATTACGTCAACTGTTGCTGCCTTTTCATCTATTTTTCCTAGAGCTTCACATGCAGTCTTGCGGACATATTCGTCATTATTCGCAAGCGCAATCATCAGTCCCGTGATCGCTTCAGTCGTTGCTGCTTTTTCGCCTAATTTACCGAGAGCGTTACATGCATTCTTTCGAACATGCTCGTCACTATACTCAAGTGCAATCACCAATGCATTGATTACCTCACTCGTTGCTGCATTTTCACTTAACTTAGCGAGAGTTTCACATGCACTCGATCGTATGCGTTCATGACTGTCTTCAAGTGCAATTATCAATTCACTAATCACCTCACTCGATACTGCCTTTTCTCCTAATTCTTCAAAAGCTTTGCATGTTCTCATCGGGGTATACTCTTCATGATTCTCAAGTGCACCAGACCATCGACTAATTAGCTCGTTAGTAGCTGCCTTTTCATCTGATTTCGGGATAATTTCGGATGCTCTGCACTGGACAAGGTAATCAGCATCCGCATGTGCAATTAGTAATCGACTGATCATCTCATTCGTTGATGGGTTTTCACCTAATTTTTTGAGACTTTTTTGTGCAATCAATTGAACCTCTCCATCATTATCTTCAAGTGCAATCATCAGTGCTCTGATCACCTCACTAGTTGCTGAATTTCCATCTAATTCTCCAAGAGCTTTGCATATACTCTTCCTGACGTACTCGTCCCTATTCTCAAGTGCAATCACCAAACTAGTGACCACCTCACTCGTCACTGTTTTTTGACATATTTTAGACACTGCTTCTGATGCTCTCCACTTGACTAGGTAATCATTATCCTCAAGTGCAATGACCAAGCAAGTGATCATCGCACTCGTTGTGACGTGTTCACGTAACTTACTGAGAGCATTACATGCACTCTTGCGAACATCCGCATTACTATCTTTAAGTGCAATCGCCAATTGATTGATCACCTCCCGCGTTGCTGTCTTCTCACCTAATTGAGCCAAAGCGGGGCATGCATGGTGTCTAATATCTGGATCGGGATCTTGAAGTTGTTGCTGGAGTATGTTGATAAGTTGAGATATTGAGTGCGAGATTGTTAAGTTTGAAATTAATGAGAGCGTGTTTTTTTTCGTATTACTGTTACCAGTTTCGACTAGATATGCTAGAATTTTTTGTATTGCAGGCTCATTGGGTAATGATGTGCATGGTCGAAGTGTGTCAAAGAGATGAGTTTGTAGTATGCAATGCTCTATTGATAAAATATATTTTATCCAGTTTATGATGAATTGAATTATGTGCTGCTTTTCATGTATGATTTCACTGCACTTTGCTTCGTCGACGCATGAAATCAGTAGTTGAAGATGCCGGAAACCAACTAGATCAACGTGATCGTAAAGTATGGCATTCCAGAATGTTTTAATGATATTCTTGTCGCCATTTTGAATGAGTAGTCCTGATGCAAAAGTAAACATCAAGGAAAAACGCGGATTATATTTGTACGTTTTGATAAATTCGATGCATTTTCGACGTGCATTACTACGGAGACCACTGACCAGGTAGCATGCTGCAAAGTACTCTTGGAAACTGAGATGAACAAAATAATGTTGTTTATCTGTTTCTATGCGTTGACCAATGTGACCATGTTCAAAGGACTTAAGTATGCCAATATTGAGTATTTGTGGATTTGTTTTCAATGAACACCCAGTCTCTGTTATAGCTTTTTGTAGCAATTGTTTTTGTATAATTATTATATTTTGTTCCATTGCTTCAAATGCTAACATTTCCAAGAATGTGAGCTCCTTATGACAGTGCTCGTATAGTTCATTCTTAGTCATCTGGATAGTGATGTTTTGCTTTGTTAAGTAGCGTTTGCATAACCACTCGGTTATATTATCGTAGAGAGCAGTGATTGTCATATTTGTACTTTCTGGCCAATCAGTGTCACTCCAAATGCTACAAATAAGTTCCAAGTTAACTGGAATATGGGCAATACCCCAAATGCGTGAGTTCAATTCTAAAAACTGTAAGCATTTTTCTCCTTGATTAGAAGTATTATCTAACACTTTATGAATTTGATCGAAGAACCGTTTCACATACTTTGGAATATTGTCATCAGTAAACCCCATGATTTCCATTTGCACGGTATAAGATAAAGTATTGAAATATGGACGAGATGTTATGATATGATGTGCAGTTTTTAGTAGTTGTTCAAATAACCGCTGCAAATGTGAGGGCACATTTTGTACAATTTCATCATAGCCATCTAAGAGCCATAGAACCTTGCTCTTGTGCATTTGTTTCTTCAAAAAGCCTTTGTCTTTTTCAGAAAGATCCTGACTGAAATATTCTGTCGCTACAATGTCGCCTAGAGAATAACTGTTGCCAGTTAACAATGGAGGGTAACGAGTTTCCATTAGTGAACATAAAGGCAACAAAACAACCAAGTCATACTCAGACCAAAGAGCACCTGTTGCCCATTGATGAGCAACATATCGACAAAATGTAGTCTTACCAATTCCTGCTCGACCAAAAACAAGTACTTTTCTAGACTGATCTTTACATGTTTTAAATATATCTTTGATATCTATCAGCGTCTTGCTACCATAGATCTCTTCGAAAGTGTCCATGATCGTGTCAATGTACTTAGCATCATGGAGTCGTTTCTCTTTTTCGTGTTGCTGTTTGGTTTCGACGATGGACAAATTAATATAACTTTCTTCAATTGGAAAAGACTTAGCTGGATTCATTAAACGCTCAATATGACTGTTTCGTTTGTATTCATATTTTATTAGTTCAAATAGATAACTCGCTTCGTCGTCAGCCTGTGATGGTAGATATTGCAAGGCCGCACATTGCTCATTTATTCTATCAATTAGATTTCTGACTTTCAAATGAATATTGAATTCGGAAACATCATGAAAATCTATGCAGCCATGTTTTCTAATTATTGCCTCTAGCCAATCAGTAGGTTTCCAAGCATTTGTTTCACCAAGCATACATATTATGATTCGTTTGAATCGTTTTTGTGCATACTGCAGTTCAAGCTTACAATTTTCAGATTTTTCATAATCGGATGTCACGAAACAGCAGACCACCACAGCATTTTCTACTCCATCGGCCAAGCTACGCAAAATATGAATTCATATACAAGGTGAAAAGAATATATCATCATTTCAAATACACATACCTTTCGTACATACTATCTTTTATGTCACCGTTTGCATCGAACCAAACTGGAAAATTTTCTTCTTTGAGAGAATGATAGATCTTTGATGCAATATCTTGACTGTTCCAGTTATAAGAGAGCATAATATGTTTTCCTTTTGGTATTGACTTCGATATTGTCGTCGTGTGACTAAAAAGATGCAGGTTTAATTCTATTAAATAGCTATGAGTTACCAAGAATGTTAGTTTCAATATAGTTATTATGTCTAAAGCGAAAACACAGCTCTTGGGCAATCCAACTGGTCGGATGCGATCTATACATTTGGTTTTAAAACTCATGTTACGATGATGGCGTGAGACATTGTACATATTTTTTGTGAAGACTGTTACTTTCAAGATCAACTGAAATATTCAGAAATCTCCAATTTAATGGTACATAATTGTGAGGATTTATCTCTAGTATTCCAGTATTTAATAGTGCATTCACATAGTCAAGTCTACGAGTTACAGTCACGCATCGGAAGATAGATATGATAAAAATATTTATTCAAGACAATGAACATAGTTATGAATATTGGGCAACCGTCTCCATCATCACTTATCCACCAGTGAAATAATAATCATTTTTAATTCTTCTATGCTTGAAAAAAAAACTTGTGTCTGTATTCGCTAACAAAGCTAAGTAAACTTTATTTAAATAATCGACAACTAAATACTGCAGTGCACTATTGTTGGCATCTACTCATGAATATATAATATAATCATTAGAAAGGAAAATTTCTCAGTTTTTTCTTTATCCATAGATTCTACTCACATTTTTGATATCTGTGGTTAAATCTGTACAGAATAGCATAAGACTTTAGATGGCTTTGCCTTTCACAATACAAAATTGAACTATTTTAATATTTATTTACAGAGAATAATAGAAGCTCACACAATGATAATATTTCACGAATTGTTTTGAGTGACGAACTGAGATGGAAAAAGTAACTTCGATTATTGATCTCTGAGAGTGAAGTATTAGTTCATGGGTGTGATAGAACTGACTTATAAATATATTTTCACCCTTGTCTAGTTTACTTGTGAGGAACAAGATTGATTTTTCTAGTCTGGTATTCCTTAATATGTTATTCACCTAAAAACATTATCTTATCTCAGCATTCAAGGTGCAAAAACAATGATTCTAAGACATTTAGGTCCAATCTGAAATTTTCAGTTCGTACTAGACAATGTGAAAGCTAGTTCAAATGCATGAATTTAACAAGCCTTAGTCAATATGAAGAGGCTTCAGAATATTTCGACCGATATGATTCATATCGTATAAAAATTTGACAAAAACTAGATGATAAAGTTCGATATTTAGCTTCTATTGAAATAACGCCCATGAAGCTGTAACCTTTTCTACAGTTCAATGTTTTTACTCTTTTCTCTTGTGCTTAAAAGTAGTAGCAGATGTATTTTTATACTCTTAGTGTGCCTTTCAATTTGTATTCTTCCATCAACAGATTTTAAAAACTACTGTGTTCGAATTCCTAAAACAACAAATTCGACCTCTAACTGACGTTAGACTGTTCTTCTACTCTAGAACAAACCATGTTTACGTTTTCAGATTATAATGTGGATATACTCTTAGGATTTTGTTGGTAAGTCTCTGATAACTCCTTTTTACTCTTTTTAGGTCTAACTATCTAAGAAATAATTATAAAAGCTGATTTGATTTCAAGGGTGAGGATAAGTTTTGTGTTTATTTTCTTACTTCTGTATCTCAGCGAAGGCCGTTAGCAACATATCACTTTTTTCAAAAGATATGCCATGCTATATTTGACAAAACTTCGGATAGAGAATGCCTTGCTGTTACGGACCACCTATTCTAATTGCATAAAAAACATAGTAGACGGATGATTTAGTGTACAAAATTACGACTTATTTCTATGGAATTACATGATAGCAAAAGAATTTAGTTAAATGATTTGATAGTTCTTAAGTTTTATGTAAGAGAAATCAAATGTTTCCTCATGAATCTTCTTATTTATCAAAACAATCAACTATACTGTTTTGACTCAAAGTTCCTTATGTAAATTTTCAGTTGCTGTCATGAAGTGGATGCCATATGTATCCCTGTGTATTTTATTGTTTGTGAATATCTAGAGCCAGATATTTTTTAAAAGTAGAATTGAGTTAATTTTGAAAGGTTGTTTGTCGCCCATATTAGTGAGTTTTAAACTACTTCTGTTCAGATATAATAAAGAAAGCAAGAACGAAATTATATTTGATTGAAGCACAGGAAACGAAGTGTGTAGATACCACGGACTAACTCAGGACACCAGAGAAATGTTATCAATACTAAGCCTTATATTTTATTATCATCAAATGAGTGATAAAATCGAAGATAAAAGTACTTTCACTAGAGCAACCAAGGATCTAATGCAATCTGCAAGATTATGAAGTGAAAAATTGACTGTACAAATAGGCTACAACTATTAAACTTTGTTTAAAGACATATCAAAGAAAGAAATGTCATTATGTATGATACAGTTGGTTTGACGGTGCAGATAAGATCAATCAAAAAGTTCCCAAGTGTTTTAAGGCAAAGTATGTTATAGTCACACTTAAAATTCACTACATCCAGACTTTTCAGTCTTAATTGAATAGAGCTTAATACATCTTTATCTAATAAAAAAACATGATATTGAGAGGACTGCTTCACTAACGCATGAACTCATTTATGTAGTCTAAAAAATTGTTTTGTACAGACTCACCATTGTTTATTTTGATCGGATAATGATTCTTCTTCCAAATGAACGATCAGGAGACAGTTGTTAAAGTTGAGAGGATTGCTCTTTACACGTAAACGAGCTCCAGGCATAATGATGACTTCTTGTTCGCCTTGCATTGCCGAATACTCAGAAATGTCTTTTCCATGCATCACTTGGATGGCAAAGATAACTCCTTTTCCTCCAACAAAAATTTCAATAACATCGAGAGCTTTTGAACAAGAATTCACACTCCACCAAGTTTTTACGCTATTGTTCGCAAAGTCGGAATCGATATCACCCGAAACTCCTCGCCAAGCAGTGTCATTAAACGATGGTAATTTTTCAAGAGCAGTAAGAAACAATTTTAAGAAGGCGAACCATGGCTTCAGTAAATGTCGTTTTTCATCCCGAAGCGCTTTGTTGAGCATAGGAAAGAAACGTGTTTGCATTGAATAAAGATAAATTGCTGCTGATTCATCCCATGTTAATAGAGATGAATTTCGATTACAATTTTGTTTAGCTAGAGCAACATAATTGGGAAGACCAGAAACTAATGGAACAAGTTCTTTTACAGCTTGTTCTAAAGTCATAATGGGTAAATGTTGGTAACCGTATATTGGACTACGATTGACTTGTTGAAGTTCTGATACATCACCACTCACAAAGCGATTGTTCTCGACAGAAGTCATATTTTGTGTCATTCAATTAACAAGCTCCTAGCATGAACAAAATTATACAACCACGACATTAGCTACATTTCTACTGCTAGATTCACATCATAGTCTCTATCCAGTATCTAAGGAGCGACGAATCTCGACAGGCTTCATTGTATAGAGTGAAATCGTCCTTGAAGTTCCTTTTTATATACCAATTACTATTAGCAAGTTTTTTTCTCATAAATATAAAAATCCGAGAAACTACTCACCATAACACTACTCTGAATCATCTAGAAAAATTTTCGATTTTGGATCTACTTAGAGTTATCCAAAAGTAGTGACGGAAGTACTCTTTTTTCTTATAAAAAGCTCGAAAAAATTTTCTTTTTTATGAACAGATAAAGAGTCTTTCGTTCTATTTTTCTATGCTATTTGATCGCTATTCAACTAATATCATAATAATAAAATTTCGATAAGAACTGTTTTTGTTGAAAATTAGCTTGTAGCACTCTCTAAAAAAAGGAGTTTTGCAGAACCCGGGAAAAGGTTCTGTAGATTTCTAAAAGCATCCAAATGTGTCCAAAGTCTCAAAAAAAAGGATAAAAAATTCGACAGAACCTTTTGGAG